AAGCTTGTATTACTTTTGTCATTAAGAAATATTATCTGTTGCAGCCACTTCAAAGTAGAACACACTAGATTTTTCAACAAATAATGGGACAATTACCTATTTGGAAAAAAAATAAGTCAGATTCCTGCATGACAAACCAAATACAGATATAAGTCCCAGATGAATTCAAGCGTTAATTGTATAACTGAACCATAAAAAGAAAAAGAAAACATACACGTAATTTCATCTCAAGGTAAGTATAGCCACTTTTCTAGGAATCTAAGCAAGAGCGGAATCCATAGAAGAAAAGATCAACAGATTTGACTACATAAGAATCAAGGGCTTCTATATATTCATAGGAAAACAAAAGCTTAGATTTGATTAAAAGCCTGGAGGAAGCATTTGCAACATGACAGGGAGAAAAGAAGTAAAGGCAACACAACAGTGGTCAGAGAGAAACAGGAAGCTACACAAAAAGAAGGGGTTCATGTGATAAACACGTCTAAATATTCAACCTTCCCAGCAATCAAAGAAACACACATCTCAAACAAGACATTTTCCACCTAAAAATCAGCATTGTAAAATTACAATAGCTGCCAAAATCCAGGGTAAACATTCCCACACTCTGCCACTGGGACTGAAAATTGGCACACTTTTCTGGAGCACAATTTGGCAGTAGGTAATAAATAAAAGCGCTGAAACTGTGTCTCTCCTCTGACCCTGAAATTCCACTTCCAGAAATTATTCTTAAGAAACAATGTTGAATGAGAAAAAAAGATTTAACTTCAGGAATGTTCATACTAAGACAATGAAATAAAGTTAATAAAGAACAGTACATCGCTGAACTACGCTGGCAGCTACAGTGTGACAGGTAGTCTTGTATCATGTTAGTAGACTGAAAATTTGTCATTTATAACAAGTCTTTAAAGTTTTCAAATCTTTTACTTCCTGATTTTGCTTTCAGGGATGTACCCTAGATGGACAAAGATTTGCATGTAAAGACACAATCATCTCAGCATTCTTTGTAATATATATACAAAACCAAATGTCCAGTATGATACAAAATGTTTAAAATGCATATGTACATGTTTCTGAATAGAAAACCAAAAGAAGCAAAAACATCAACAGTGGCACTTCTAGATTATGGAATTATAGGCGATCTCTGCATTCTTCATTTTTCACTGTCCCTCCTAAAAATGAGACTGCATTATTTTTAAAAGGGAGGGGAGAGGTATAAAAACACGTTCTTTAAATAAGGTATTCAAATGGATTTTGTTAACACATTTTCCTGGAACCGTCAACTTGATGTTGAAGTGCCTAGAGTATAAACTAATCTAACATTTCTGTTTCACAAGAAAACGTGATTTTTATTTTATGTTGTGGCAGTATACCACTGAAGTCATAAGGGCCTGGGCCTTCCTAGATGAGCTGGAGAAACTGAAGCAAAGTTTACTTAGTCCTACTTGAATCAACATGTGACTCAGGTATCCCACTTCAACCTTCATGGGTGAATTCAACTTGAGACTCAAGTCTGGCTGTCCCTTTATCATTACCATCTTTCAGATTCATCAGGTCCCCTAACTTCACAATTCCTTGGTTCTCATGACTCATAAACTCCTCGTCCTTCTTTAACTCAAACTAAAGGGTAGACTAGATGACCTCAAAGATCCTTTTAGATTCTAGGACCTCACTGATTTACACCTGCTTCGCACCCACAAAACACTTATGTACATTTTGTTTTATTGGGGGGAAAACTTCACTGACATACCAACTCAAGGCAGCATGGCTGCTCCTCCTCGTTTCATCTCCAAGATTTCATGTATAATACTTCCCGTTAAGGCCCCCCTTAATTTTCCATTGAATCCATTAATGATGGTTTAGGACCTCATTAAGTATTTTCTCCATTCTAAGCCACAGTGCTTTTATATTTTACAGCTCTACTTAAATAAAGAACTCATGCTGGGAGGAGTGAGTTAAATATTGGAAGAAAACCCAGGATACAAAACAATTCTATCACTCTGGAATATCTGAGATGAAATAACAGTGACAAAGTTCAGAACTTAGACCTCAAAACTACACAGAAATGAGTTAGTTTAACAACAACACTTGCACACACACAGAGTTGTGATTTTAGTTGACGATAATTTCAGAGTCAAGAGTATATGGCTGCTTTTAAAAAAACCACCTATCACCTTGGTTTTTTGTTTTACTTTTTTTTTTTTTTCTTTTTTAACAAAGTAGCATGTGGAAAACAGAGGAGGGAAGGTTTCTCTACTCTGCACTTTGCCAGTGCACTTGTATACTGACTGAATACTGTGTTCTCTGCGGGATGCCATGCTTTAAGACTTGAGAGGGCCATTAACAAAGGAAATGGGGGACAGAGGACTAAGAAGTTGGTGAAAGGATTTGAAACTGTCGAATAGAGACATCTGAAGAACATGGGAATATTTCGACCACGGAACAGAAGACCTACACAAGGATGGCAATCTCTGACCACAGAGGCACTGAAAGTCAAGTAAATGAGCGAAGCCAGCAGGCAGGGACTTTAGCAAGATGAAGAGTGTATCTAGCACTTAAGGGAGATTACTGGCATCAGAAATGTGAGCTCTGCAGTTAGTCAGAGAGCAGCCTTCTAACACAAAGGTCATGGGTTTGGATCCCCATACCAGCCAACCACCAAAAAAAAAAAAAAGAAAGATAGAAATGTGAGCTCTGTATCGCCAAATCCTGTAATTTTTTCTCAAGACAGAAATTGTCATGTGAAATCTCCCCATTTGTATCAGCTGGCTTCCAATTTAAGTTTTTGTGTAAGCTGGGCAGGCCCTATTCGATCCATGAGCACCAGTTTGTAACTTGTGTCACAGGGAAACATGATGGCTTTCTTCAAACATCTGAAGATTTGCCATCAGGAATAGGAATAGAGGGACGGCCCCGTGGCTCACTCGGGAGAGTGCGGCACTGGGAGCGCAGCGGTGCTCCCGCAGCGGGTTCGGATCCTATATAGGGATGGCTGGTGTGCTCACTGGCTGAGCGCGGTGCGGGCGACAGCAAGCCAATTTCCCGGTCACAAAAAAAAAAAAAAAAAAGGAATAAGAATAGATTTGTTCCACGTGGCCCTAAAAGTAACACTCATAAGGAGGCAACTGCAGATGAACTGAAAGAAAAGCCTCCTAAAACCCAGCCTACCAATTGGAGTGGGCTACCCAGGGAGGGTCGCTTCATTTAAGAATTTAGTTGGAGGGCCGGCCCGGTGGCGCACTAGATAGTGCGCCGCTTGGGAAGCGCGGCGGCGCTCCCGCCCGAGGGTTCGGATCCCACATACAGACCGGTTCCCGCTCACTGGCTGAGCGAGGCGCGGGAGCAACGCCAAGGGTTGCGATCCCATTGCCGGTCCCCGGTCCGGTACGGGGGCGACACTGAGGGTTGCGATCCGTTGCCGGACACGGAAAAAGACAAAAGACAAAAAAAATAATAAGAAGAAGAATTTAGTTGGGGACAGGTCAGTAAATACTATTGACCAGTTCAAGAATTCTGCACTTTTTTTTTTTTTTTTTTTTTTGTCTTTTTGTCTTTTTTCCGTGTCCGGCAACGGATTGCAACCCTCAGTGTTGCCCCCGCACCGGACCGGGGACCGGCGACGGAATCGCAAGCCTCTGCGTTGCTCCCGCGCCTCGCTCAGCCAGTGAGCGGGAGCCGGTCTGTACGTGGGATCCGAACCCTCGGACGGGAGCGCTGCCGCGCTTCCCAAGCGGCGCACTATCCAGTGCGCCACCGGGCCGGCCCAAGAATTCTGCACTTTTACTATGTCTGACCTTGGTCAAATAACTTAACCTTCCCAAGCCTTGTCTTTCCCACCTACCTTTTCCCTCAAAAAAAAAAAAAAAAAAAGGAATATTATAACATTTAACCTCCTATCACTCAGTGACTGTAAACATCAAAATCTATGTAAGAAAAAAATATGAAAGTACTATATGATGGCAAAGAACTTAAACAGTAACTTAAGACATCATTGTAATCTACCATCGTGTGTTTATATATGTGTTATCTCACATATTACATATGCTAAGGGCATATTCCAAACCTAATTTGCTTTTTTATTCCTCCCTCAGAATATCAAGTATTTGTTGGAAAAAAATGTTTAAAAGGAAGTTGGAGAAGAGGGTTAAAATGCAGACAGTGTAAGAGGATAGGATAACAAAGAAACCAGTCAACAAAGCAAACATTCAGAATGTTAATCATTAATATCACTGACCTGTCTAAAAGGTATTGGACACAGTCAAACGGAAAAATATACAAAAGTAATGGCATGTGGGTGGGAGGATGATACCCTAAGGCTGGCCCTGGCAAACTACCACCAGCTGCCTGGTTTTATAAATAACGTTTCACTGGAACACAGCCTTGCTCATTCGGTTGTGAATGATACGTATGTATTATTGCACATATTAGGTTTGTTATTTATTACATACATGCTGCTTTCACTCTACAGACTTTACAATTCATCTTCCTATGGCTCCGTCCCTGCGATTTTAGTGGGTCATTTGGGTGCATGTAAGCGATACCCAAACTACGTTATGGCCTAAGTGTAGGAAAGGTACGTCACTAAATGAATCTCCACACTCCTCTTCTATTTTCAAGATTACAGATTTTTTTAACCTTGTTTCTCTTCCACTTAGTAGCATCACTCAAGAAATCTGAAAGATTGAAAATGTAAAAGGTCCAGGCAGGAACAGCTCAAGCTTACAGGGGAGCCCACTCTGTCTCTCTTAACTACTCAAACTCTTGCCTGTCTGAGCTTCCCTGTGTTCGTGGAACCTACAAACACGCAGAAAATAAAAATCTTTTCCTTCCTCTTACTCAATTTACCTGCCCTATCATTACAGATTTTCCAAAGAAAGTTACCAAAACTGAAAAAAATAAAACAATATGGTAACAGAAGTTTTCTGAGCTAAAGGTTAACGTCCAGCAGAAACCACTGGACAGCTGCAAGACTTTATGAAAGGCCCCTGGTTCACATTTCTTACCTCACTCTGGAGTAACCATGCACAGACACTCAAACCGTTGCCAAGAGTAGACCTGGTGGCATCTCCATTTTTCTCCTGACACCTGACTCATTCAGACAGTACCTTCGCGGACTCTCTACCAGTCTTGGCTGGGACAGGGACCCCCGCCGCGCCGCCGCCTCCGTCCTGCAGCGCCCTCCAAGGACGCTTCAGCGCACAGCCCTGCCAGCTCCCCGAAGAAAGGGCTCATCCTGCCTTCTTCCGACGGGCAAGCCGGCAAGCCGTTCTTCGGACCCTCGCCTCTCCCCTGCAAGTCTACCTCTCAGGCTTAACTTCGCCCGGTCTCACTTCTCTGACCTGCTTGCGAGTCTTTTTCCTCTAGTTACAACCCTGAAGGGCCGACCAATGGCTCACTTGGGAGAGCGTGGTGCAGACAACACCAAGTCAAGGGTTAAGATCCCCTTACCGGTCATCTTTAAATTAAATTAAATTAAATTAAATATAAATAAATAAATAAATAAATAAAATAAAATAAAAGACAACCCTGAGGCCTGCCCACTGAGGGATTCCACCTGCACCCTAAGTATCTCCTCCTGTAAACAGTTCTTCCCTGTCTGGAAGGGCCAGGGCAGCGAAGACACACTCCTCAAGCGTCGTCTCCGGGTGCCAGGCCCGCAGGGTCGGGGCATTCTGGAGATCCGCAACCCCAGGTCGCTCTCCTCCAGCTCCTGTGACCTCACGAGCGCGGACAAACCATTTTCAACACGCCCCGTAAGAGGTTAAGAAAACGGCTTTTTTCATGACGAAATAGGTAAAAGGCCCCCTGCTCAGTAAGTTGTCGGGAAAGCTCGGCTTCGCTCCAGTCTGTTAGTGTCCCCACGGTGCGACCCGGGGCACAGGGGTCGCAGTCACTGGACAGAACGCGGGACCCCGGGGAGAGAAGCACGGGATCTGCAGAGGCCCCGCGTGACTGCCACGCTCAGATGCAAACGCCCGGGGCCAGCCTCCGGCGGCGAAGCCACCAAACCGGAGAGAGAACGGACAGAGGAGGGCCGTGCGGGAACGGCCTCAGAGGGGAGTCAGCCCAGGCGGGAAGGCGCCCGGAGTTAGGTCTCCGGGATCCCCAGGTCCCGGGGTTCCGGCGCAGAGAGCGCGCCCCGCGGCGGGCCGGTCGTGAGAGGCGGCGGCGAGCCCAGCAGGCGCCGCGGGGACCGACGCGGGCGGCACCTCCACTTCACAGGATGCTCCGGCCGGACAGCGGGGGCCGCGCGCGGGCGGGGGGC